TGTTTTAAAAATAACTTTTAAAAAGCTCAAGCTCATGAAACAGCTGGAAAATAGGTATTGGCCTCTTACCATACTGCACCCCTACAGGCATACAATACACATCATCTCTTGTCAACATGATACCCCATCACCCCCAGATATCTAGTGTGCACCTCTTCACAAACACTCTTCACAACTACACATCTCTCCAAGGGGAAGTTGACCATGGTCATTGCACCCAACACCCTTATGTATGTTAACCAACCACCCCAGTGGTGTTTCTGGGTCTATGAGCTTGGGAATCTCTCATCTGGAATACTCACTTCATTTGGTTTTCAAGGCTCACTGGCATCCTTCAATCTGGTCTCCTCCAAGCTTCCCTGTGGCTGTGCACTTAACCATCCTACAGACAAGACTCAGGCCATCTATCCTGACAGGTGCCATGGACATGATTCTGTGATCTTCTTGGGGCCACACACTGGGGGCAAGGCAATGACCTGCTCGATCGCAGCTGGTGACATCACTCACTCCTGACTACTTGTTCAAGGGTCAGTAAGAAACTGCAGCATGATTTCTCGCCCTTGATACAAAGCCACCAATCACCCCCAACAGCCACTAATGCCCTCACCAACACCTGTTCCACTATTACCTACAGTGACTACCATGGGATGGGGCTGTACACCCAACAACAACTCTTCTACACTTTGCTGAGACACTGAGCTTTCCCTTCACCTTCACTTTGCTCTCTCTCAATTCCTATTCATTTAGACAATTATCACAGTTGTTGTTAGGTGTCAAATCAACCACAATTTACAGTGACTAAATGAACAGCATCAATCTTGTCCTATCCTGTTCCATCCTCATCACAGACTCCTGTACTAGTCAACATTTTAGGATCTAAAATTCTCATTATTTATTTCTGTACCCAAATCATCCCAGACTGGTCGGTTGGGAGCGGCTCTGAGTCCCTCCTAACACAAGCCTGTCATTCCTTTCGCACAGCAAGGTATTTCAGGCCGAGCCTCACTCATGTCCCCAAGGAATCTTCATTCTTTCTACTGGAAAGAGGGATTTAGAAAGCACTCTCTGGGTGCTGGTCTGGTGGCCTGGTGGGTAAGGGGCCACACTGCCAATGCAACAGCACGTGGTTCAAATCCACCAGTTGTTTCACAGGGAAAAGATGGGCAATCTCCTGTGCAATTTTTCTGCCTCTGAAAACCCAACTGGCGAGTCAGCTATGAGTCAGTTCCAACTTGATGGTACACAGGAACCCTTGGCATGTTCCTGTACAAAGCGCTGTGGCTCCCAGCCTCTTAAAACCGACAGAGCTAGGATATGGGCAGATACACACGCACACCCAAAAATAAACATCCAGCTTCTCTTCAAGTATATGCTTTCTTAAATATCCCAAGTTTGCTGTCATATATAATTGTAAAAAGACTTTTTGGTATATGTTCCATCCTATGTCATTGCAAAATTACATAAGACAGAGCAAATACCGAAAAGCCCTTCTTCCTGGCACACATCTTAGTATCATTATCTACCTACGTCAAGCTAGACACACTTCCCTCTCATTTGATGTGACCTTTACTAGTCACCAAGACCAACACATGTCTACTGTGTAGAGGATGAATCTTCTCATCAGCCCCATCCCTGATCATTTAACTAGTCATATCATTTCATAAAAGTGGGGCTATAGGGCATTTGGAGTTTTTGTGCTTGGCTTGTTCCACTGAACTTACGTTCTCCAGGTTGATCTATGTGCTAGGACCTTTGGGGAACGTATTTTTCTTTATTGCTCAGTAGTGTTCTACTCCTCCTTTGTGTTTCCAAGTTTGAGGGCTCAGCCTCCACTGCCATATCTGTCAGATTCCTTCCTCTCAATGTGCTCTGCTGTACATATGTTTTTCAACGACCTGTTATATTTTGGAAGTGGTTGGCCAATCCTTCTTCCTAGTCAGTCTTAATTTGGATGCTTAGTACCATGGACTGCTAAGAAAACGAACAGGTTCACCCTTGAGAGGGTTAAACCGGGCTGCTCCTTGGAGGTAAGGATTCTGAAGCTCCGTCTAACATACTTTGGACATGTTGCAAGGAGGGACCAGTCCTTGGAGAGGGACGTCATGCTTAGGAGGGTGGAGGGACAGTGCAGGAGAGGAAGACCCTCTATGAGGTGGATTGATTCAGTGCCTGGGGTAATCAGGGTGGGTGTGTTGGACACAGTGAGCTTGGCACAGGATAAAGCAGGGTTTAGAGCTGTTGTACATAAGGTCGCTATGAGTCACAGGCAACTCGACGGCACGTAACAACAACGTTTTAGAACAGTATCTGACAGACAAGCATTTTACCGAGCAGATGAAAGACACTTCCCTTATAGAAATAACCAATCCATTCACTGTCCGCTCTCCTCCAGCATGTGCGTCTTGTCTCTTCCCTTTCCCTGCTACATCTCCAGTCCTTGCAGTCCCGCCTACCTGGTCAAGCCCTCCCTTCCCCAGCCAGCTCCTGCTATGATAGCTTCGTCTCCACGTCACTTCTGTGATGGTTCACACCGCACACTGGTTTTGACCTCACATTATGTTAATTTATCTGTTGAGGGGCACTAGGGCTGCTTCCCTATTTCTGCTACTGTGAACCATGCTGTGATAGGCAGAGACGTGCCTGTGATCTCGGACTTTTTAAGTTTGAAAAAAAGTCAGTGAGATGAGTCTATACACCTTTAGAGTCACAGGTCCTGATACGTAAGCGAGAGAGGGGCTGGGAGGCGAATCCTGCTGGAGTAGTTGCCTGAAGGGTGGTCAGGGGCGGGCAGCGCGCCACAGCACGGCCTGCGAGCTAGTTACTCAGGTGTCCACTTACTGATAATATGACAATCTGCATATTTACTTTACACACTTTGTCTCTAAGTGTGTGACTTTCATAATAGAAAAGGTTAAAAACCCTCCCCCGCCCACCCCCGAGCAGCTGTGTCCCCAGGCGTGCGCGCTGCGTGAGGGATCTCTACCACACAGGCCCTGGCCTTCACTCATCCTATTCATGGCCTGGCCAAGGCCAAGGTGCTGGGTTCCAGGCACTCTGCCCTCCTGTCTGCCCTGGCAGAGGAAGGCACACCTCCCTGGATGGGCCACTCTCTGGAGGGCCATGCTTTCCAAACACACCTGTGCACACAGGTCCATGGAGGGCCATGGCCAAGTGCATTCTAGTGCAATGCAAATGCACCTGGGCAATCTACACACCTGCAGGCCTCTCCCAGTGCTGCCCCAGGCACAGCCCTCTAGATGGCAGGGGCTAGCCCTGCCTGGAGATAATGGGGTCTCACCTAGCCATGGTGCCACTGAGCTAGAAGGGGCCACCCCCAAGCATCCAGTCAGACAGCCCTCCCAGAGCACCTCCTGCCACTGCCCCTCTCCTGGCCTTCAGAGCACGGAGCATGAGGGCATGGTGTCAGTGCTTGGCACTTGTTGCCAGAAGTTACCCAGGAGGTGAGCACACGGAGCCTCCCTGAGGGCCTGCATCATACTGTAAAATTCAGCTGGCAGTTCTTAGGCCAGCAGAAGACACTGAGATCAGAGACTAACTTTGTCCCCAGGCCTCCAGGGGACATTGGAAGAGAAACCTTAGGGCCCGACTCCCTGCACATTCTCCTGATATGTGTGTGTCTGTCCCACCCCTCTACGTCCCCAACGAAGACATCAAAGTCCCTTTAAACTCTCCTCTCATGGTGCTCTGGTGGCCTAGTGGTAAGAGTCTGTGCTGCAACCCCAAAGAGGCATGCGGTTCAAATCCACCAGTTACTTCATAGGGGAAAGATGGGCAATCTCCTCCCATGTGATTTACTGCCTCTGCTGGAGGGTCAGCTATGGGTCGGTTTCTTCTTGACAGTACACAGTTCATGCACTGTCCCCTTTTCCTTTGTGTTTCCTGGCCCCCCTGTCATCCTGGCTCTAGGCATCCCCCCACCAAGGGGGACCCCAGCAGGCTGCCCCGCTGTCTGGCACTTATCACTACTTACACCATTATATAGGCTGTGCCCTCCTTGGCCTCAGCCTGTGTACTCTGCTCTGTTAGGGATGCCAGCCTCCCACACCCCCTGCAAACTCTGTTCCTCTTACAGCTAGCCAGCTCGAGGACCACAAACCTGGCACCTCCATGGTGCTCAGTGCCCTGTAAGGCAGCCTGTGCCAGGACCTCCGCTATGATCCAGGCTTAGCTGCCAGCCGGTCTCTGCCTGCCAGGAGGAAGGCTTTATTGTGGAGGGGCTGCTGAGAAGCCCGGGGTGTGGGGGGGCTGGGCTCAGCTGCAGAGCCCCCACTGTGCCCTGGTCACTGCTGGGGGTCCTAGAAGGACCAGGGTAGGTTCTGCCATAGCCGTAGGCCAGTGAACAAAGCCACCCTTTCTCTGCCAATGACTGGACAGTACAAGGGGCTACTCGAGGGCCTCAACCAGACACCTTGGGGCTCTGGTAAAGCTCCCCCTCCAATCTCTCACCTGGGCTGGTAGCCTATCCCCCCAACCTTCCTAGGGCAGCCTGGTCACCTGGGAAGATAGGTAACAAGGGTGCATCAGTGGGGATGGAGACGGGGCTCAGAGCAGTGCAGTAACCCGGCCCTGAAGAGGCGATGATGGCAGCGGAGGCTGGGCCGAAGCCAGACCACCTTGTTTCCCTGGCAAAGGAGCTCAGGAGAGAGAAGAGCGGGTGGGTGACCGGAGGTGAACCTCGACGACAGCCCCTCCGGGACCAAGTGTAGGAGAAAGCTGGTCCTGGCACCCAGGAAGGCTACTGGCAAAGGGATCAAGGAGGGGTTTTACACCCATGTAGCGACCAGGCTGGCAGATCCTCCTAGACCCCGTTTTGGGCACAACTGGCTCCCCCAGGGATGCCAGCCACTCTTGGCAGCTGAGGGCACCTTCTGAGTCTGAGGGGCCTCCATCTGAGATGCTGGCACCCACTGAAGATTGCCTGATTCCTGGACCCCAAGTGCAGCCAGAATGGAGGTGGCTGTGCTAGTTCAGAGACTCACCTGAGAAGGTGGGGCCCATGGGGCAGCGTCTGCAGCCAGGTCACACACTGGCCCCCGTGGCCATCCAGGGTGGCGAGCGTCCTCCGCGTCTGCAGGCTCCAGATGTGCACGAGGCCACTCAGGGACCTGGCTCGGACACGAAGGTCAGGGAGTGAAGGAGAAAGGCAGACCCCCCCGCGCCAAGTCAGAAGGGCCACGTGGATGACCTGCGAGGTGTGAGGGCTGTGATTTCCATTTAAAGCACCGACAGCCTCAGAAATGAACTTGGGGAGAAAGGAACCATACATTCCTCTTTCAGGAGACTGGAGGAATCTGGGGTCCTCTGCTCCCTGCTTGTGAGGAACCAGGATCTGCAGCACAGCCCAGGAAGAAGTGGAGCCCAGTTTTAGTTCTTAAATGAGGGTGAAATAATCCAACTATTAGAAAAAGCAATAGTGTAATAATAGACCTGACTCAGGAAAGGGGTGAGTGCGCCTGACCTGAGAGTCGGCCCGAGTGGCCACCATCACTAAGCAAGGGTCACAGTGTCTATTAACCACAACGACAGGGTGAGAGGCCCAACAGGGACAGAGGGGAAGAAGAGGGGTGAGGCCGGAGCCTGTCTGCCATGACCCGGAACTCTGTACCCACCGGCGCTGGCTCGCTGTGAGCCCCGTGGCCACCTGGCATCCCCCCGCTAACCCCCAGGGTCAGGTTTTAAACAGCAGTACTCACCCCGAGAGAAGGAGCGGGCGGTCCTGATTACGGGCTTCGCTGCAGAAGTGCAGCGCGTGGACGGCCGACTGGGTGCCCCGGAGCACGAACTGGGGATCTGGCTGTGGTGGGGGCCGCGCGGGGTCCATGGTGCTGGAGGGCATGAGTGCCTGCAGAGAGGGAGGGGGAACATGTGAGAGACCCCTCCAGGATAGCAGCCTTGCCCACAGCTGGGCTCTCTGCACTTCCTGGGTAGAGGAGAGATGCCTCTTTGCACCCCCAAATCACAGGGGACTAAATCCCCATGTGGGAAGTCCTGGCCATTCTTTCCAAGGGCTAGCCATTGGCCGTGCTCCCAGCGAGGTCCGGGAGTGTTCCCTAGACACTGCCTTAAAGCACCCCTCACAACCCCTCCACTCGGCCCCTGTACCCCGTGGGTACCATCCTTCCCTGTCTTCTCTCACCCTCAGGCTCCATCTACTGGCCTCTACAGCTTTCACCTCCTTTGTGGGTCCCCGGGCACACCAGTGTCCTCCAGCTCTGGCCCCAGGCCCAGTCTTACTTCGGCTGCTCTCTCACGGTGAACCCTCCCCAAGTGGGCCTCTCGTCCAGCTCAGTCTCCCCTCTGAGCACCCATTACCCTCCTTCCCCACAGAGAAGTCACGACGTGCCACGCTTCCCGTCTCGGCCCTTGGCCTCGAGCTGGAGGTAGGAGAAGAGTGTGTCCTAGACACCCTGCTCAGCAGTGACAGCACGGTGACACACAGGAGCATGTGAGGTGCACGGACAGCACACAGGGTCCGGGCGGAGCCAGAGAGCAGAGACCCTCACTGGTACACTTGTAGTGACAGACAGACACACAGCCCTGCAGGCCCCCAGCCAGGCTCTCTACAATGTCAAATTTCCGTAATCACCTTTCAAGGAAAAGTGAGGGCCTTGGCAGGGCACAGGTGGCCCCCTTGAGGCATGTGCCTGGTCTGCAGGCGAAGGCTCCGTGCTGGGTGCTGCATGCAGAAGGAAAAAGCCTGGGGTCAGGTGCAAGGACCCGGGTGGGCAGGCAGAGTGAGCCTACACACGTGCAGAGGGAGGAACCCACACATATATGGGAGATGGCCCAGTGGCCCAGTCATGGGTTTACTGGAGGTCCTGGAGTGAGTAACAGAGGAGTCCCCCCAGGGTACACACAGAGGCCAGAGGCAGGAAAGGTCCCCGCCATCAGCCACATCCTCTCCTGTCAAGTCTTGCCTTCTTCCTGTCGTAAACACAGCAAGAGCCCTTTCTCCCTCTCTCTTCCTTCAGAATACAGGGAGGGCAGCGAGGCTGGATCCAAAGGTTAAAAACCCTTCAGAAGAGGCGCCAGCAAGGCAGTTGGGGGCTTGCAGGCCACAGGATCACTGCATCCCTGGGAGTGGAGGGTAGGCAGCGGCCTGAGCCAGGTTTCTCTGGAAGACCACCCAGGGCTCCTGGAGGGTGAATGGGAGGACGAGGCTCTAGGGTCACGTTCAAGGCTAGGGCCAGTGTCACCACCCAGGTAAGGGCACTGGGCCCTGACCCCTGTAGAACAAGGGGTATGGGGACAGAGCTCCCCCCATCTCTGAGTCTGGTCCACAATCACCCTCACTGGTGCCAGCCTTGACCCTGCTGCTCTCGGTGTGCTACAGAGAGTGGGGGTCACCAGAAACACACCCAGTACCCCCGCAGAGCTATCAGCACATGGGGTGACTGTTCTGAATACGGGGTAGAAGTAAGGGGCTCTAGGTTCAGGAACACCGAGTGTGGCACAGGGAGACTATCCCAGGAGTCAGCTGGCAGGGGCCCTTCTCCCCGCTGCCTGCTCACCCAGGCCAAGGCCACGGCACCCAGGGATCCTGGGGCCAGAGCAGCTGCAGGCAGCGGCAGTCGGCCTGGAGGCTGCTGGAGGGGAGAGGGAGTCCCTGCCTCTCACTCTGGTGTCAGACCTAGGAACTCCATACCAGCTCACGAGACCCTGCCCGTGGGGACTGAGCAGGGCCAGATGTGCCCAGGCCCTGACAATGGGAACACAGGCCTGGCCGCAGGAGCCCACAGCAGGGTTTATTAGGACCCAAGGTGCTTAGACCTCCAAGGCTACAGCCTACAGATCCTGGCCCAGCCAGAGCCCTGGCCTGACCCCTTCAGACATGGTCCTCACTCCAGGCCATGACAGGAGGAGCGTCTCCAAAGACCCCGCACCCTCGTGAGAGGGCCTCACCCCATTGTCCAGGGCCTCTGACACACTTGGTGGTGACAGGACACGAACCCCTCTTTTCTCTTTGCTTTGGAGAAGATGAGAGTCCAGTCTAACAGCCTCTCCACGTTTGACGGAAGCCATCGCACCCTTCCCAAGCACGAGGCAGCCTCCTAGGGGCAGGAAAGGGGAATCGAAAGCAGCTGCTCTTGCTCGAGACATAACAGGGGCCTGGAGATGTTGGCGGGGCCACAGCCCTGGGCAGGCAGGCCGGGGAGGAGTTCAGAGAGAGGTGCTGATGCACCTTCAAAATCCACAAAACCACAAAATCCACAAAGCCACACAGAGCCACCACTCTCCAGAGAGAGAGAGTCTGGGAAACTGGTCAGGCCGCGTCCATCCAGGCTCCCACATGCTGTCCAGACAAGGCACACATCACACCCAGAGTACACACACGCTCACAAATACAGTCGCTGGTGCACACACTCACAGACTCACATAGGTACACACACATGGGCACATACGCACGCTCACAGGTGCATACACACCCCCACACATACTGACACAAGTGTACGTACACCTGCACAGACAGACACACGTGAACACACACATATCACACACGCACAGCCACAATCACACATACACACATGTATGTACACACACGCATGCATATATGAATACACTCAGCGACGCATGTGGAGCTCACAGATAGGCCTGGGTACACGTATGCACTTACATGCACCCACACACGTGCTTGCATTTACACTCAAACGCACACCCATTCACAAGCACACAGCTACACACACACACACACACACACGCCCAGCACATGCAGACAGCAGAGCGGCCTCGGGCGAGCGCCAGGAAAGTTAAGCCCACACTTGCCACCTGCCTGCGGCCTGGTGGGCGTTTCCAGAACCTCACCAGGAGCCTGGCTCTGAGGTGATGCAATCAAGTGCTTCTCCATTGTTCCCCCAGAACGGTGTGGGGAGGGGGAGGAGGGGAGGGAAAAGAGGAACAAACCTGTCACGTTGTTACAACAACCGAAAAGCTCCGGCCAAAATGATGCATCGGCAATTAAGGGCTCCATCATTTCAAGCAATTAAAATAAATGCTTTATTTGAAAACTAATTAATTCTAGCTACATATTTTCCCCATGACAATATCCTACAATTACTTGATTTATGACATCTAATTATTCTTTATTAATCTAATTGAGAATAATCGCATTATCCTATCTCTGCTGGCCCCAGGCCCGTCCCGCGCAGAGAGGCTCTGACCCTCTCCTTGTGCGGGAGCCAATGGGTCCTATCGCTTACACCGCAGGCTGCCTCGTTTCACTGTCCCATCGCATGTCTGTTCCCCCCGGAGGGCGAGGAACATGAAACTGAATCCACGCGGCTCCACTTCGCACTCTGCCTACTTCTCTGAAAATGTCAGAGTGCGGCACGGCCTTCCAAAAATGAAAAGGGAAGGGAATCGGACACAGTGGTGTGAATCTGACAGCCTTCCCACCTGACGGGCAGGAGTCCCTGCAGGCCCCTGACCTCAGCGCACACGGGAGGGTGACTGTCGTCTACCCCCACGCCCACCCCGTCCCGTGACATACCATAGCAGGAGCAATCCAGGCCTGCCCTCCATACCCCCCCACCCCCACTAGTCCCACAGAAATGGGTACCTGAGTCTTCCTCTGGAACAGAAATCTGAGCCTAGGTTGAGTGGATGCGGCCAGTTGGCACCCCTGGTGCTCACCTCAGGCCATGCAGTGGCCCCAGGGACACAAGGGTGGCCCCTCAGGGCGAGGAGGGAGTATGCTCACTGACAGCCTGCTGGCATAAAAGGACCACAGCCCTCTGGGCTGTGTCAGCACTGATGTCCGGCAGAACAGCAGGCGGGGCCGGGTCCCTACAGGTCCCTACTCAAGATGTTGGTAACCAGCTGCCCTTCCTGGACTGCAGGGGGTTTGCACCTTGGCCCATGTAAGCTGTGGTCCCATCGGTCACTGCACAGGCTGCAGGGCCTGACCTCCAGTTCTCATCTCCTGAGAGCCTCTCTCGCCCTTCTATAAAGCCACATGATCACTGAAGAGACTTGGCATGTGACAAAGGGCACCAAGAGTGAGACAAGACAGTGGGGCCATGACCCAAACGTGCCCCAGGCACTGGCTGACCTGAGATACCCTGGGTTCTGGCTACTCGGAATACAGGGCAGGTCTAGGACGTGCCAGCTTATCTGCCCTAGCCTGGGAGGAGCTGGCCTCGCTGGTGGGTGCCCACCAGGCCCTGCTCCTGGACTGTGTGCATGTGACACCCGGAGCCCTGTGCATCGCAAGGACCAGCCTCACAGGATCCTGGGAACACCACCAGTAGCTCCCATGACCCTTAAGGGCATTCCTGGGCATCCCACAACCACAGGGGCCAGCCAGGCATCACTTTGTAGCTTGGAGAAATGAGGAAATTTATACAAGTGTTCAGGCCTTTCATTTACAGAGTCACTGAGCCTTCTACGACTCAATGGCACTTAACGACAACAAGAACAAGATGCTGTGAGGGAGCTCTGGTGGCCTAGTGGCCAGAAGCTACGCTGCAATCCCGAAGGCACGTGGTTCAAGGCCACCAGCTGCTCTGTGGGAGAAGTTAATTCCTGTGCAACTACCTGCCTCTGAAAACCCACCAGAGGGTCAGCTATGGGTCGCTTCTGACTTCACGGTAAACAATAACTGATGCTCTGAGCAGCCCTCCCACTCAAACAACAAAAATGCTAATAATTAAAAAGAACAAAACCCAAGCAAACCAACTCCAGTGCACCCCTTAATTTGGGGGGGGGAAGGTCTCTTGTCCTCAAGAGGTCAAACAATAGCAAATAAAAGTAGAGCCTGATGAGGTCTTAGGGGAGCTCTGGTGGCTTAGGGGTAAGGAATTGCACTGCCAGTGCGAAGGTAAACGGTTTGAACCCGCCAGCTTCTTCCAGGGAGAAACATGGGCAATCTCCTCCCGTGCAATTTACAGCCTCTGAAGGTCACAGAGCCAGGAGCTTATTGCCCTGGGGCATCTGCTGCACTGCAACCTCGACTTCATGGTTCTGATGACGTCTGAGAAATGAAAGGCCAAGTCTACGCCCCTCCCGACATGGTAATCTAACAGTATTTCCCTAACAGACCTCACAGGGATAGATGTGCATCAGAACATTGCATCATGTTACACTGATACACTGCCTCAGAACTAAACTCGAACCTACGGGTAATACACGTCGCCAGGCAAGTTCTCACCCAATTCACACCAACTCTGGCAGTCCCAAAATATCAGTGTGTGCTCGTCTCCACAGAAGAGACCAAGCTTCAACCCAGGCCAAGAGGGCCAAGGCATGAGGACATGGGGCTACAAACCAGCGGTCAGGGCACCATGAGGGAAAGGCGTCATAAATCACAGCGTCAAAATTAGACCCACAGAGCAGAGGGGTGAGGCTACTGTGTGCAATATTAGATTATAATACAAAATTATATATAAAAATATTGACTGTTTTAAAAATTTTTTCTTTGTAAACACACTACCATGTTTATTGCTGTGTTATGTTTTAAGAAATTTCAAAAAGTAATGAATAGTCAAATTTGTGTCTTCTAGGTTGCAACACCCCCATGATACATCTTCAAGGATATGAACATGTACAGCCAAGCACAATCAATAAGAGTGCATCTAAATTCCAAAATCAATCTCCATAATAGTCTATGTGTTTCCTACTGCCAAAGGGGCCCTTTAGAGTAGTGAGAGAAGATCTTCACCCTGAAACCCACAGCGTCCCTTTTCAGTAGGAAGTAGCCAAGAGAATACACCATCCCCTTTTCCTTATGACTCAGGGTGAAGTCTCTCTCAGGGAGGAGTGATAGGGAATGGCAAAGGACACACCGACAAAGGAGATTAATCAGAACTGACTTTGACAAGCACTGTGGCAATTGGACAATTAAAACAGACATTCGGATGGCGGGGAAGAAGAACAAACTGGGGAGGAGGGTGGAGAGAATGGTGCAGCAATGAAGGAGTGAATGCCCAGAATCCCTGTGAGTGTTCACTGAAACTAATAAAATTTAATAATAAAAAAAAAAAGTAATGAATACTGGCTAGCTCTGGTGGCCTAGTGGCAAGAAGGTGTACTGCAATCCCAGAGGTGCACGGTTCAAATCCACCAGATGCTCTGCTGGAGACGGAAGAACAATCTCCTCCTGTACCAGTCAGATCTGTTTTGACGGTACACACACACACACACAAAATAATAAAATGAAGGGAAAAAAAGTAATGAATACTGTAATAGAGAATTGTTGTGTTAGTTGTTGTTAGGTGCCGTTGAATCGGGTATGACTCATAGTGACCCGATGAATAGCAGATCTGAACCCTGTCCTATCCTGTGCCATCTTCCTACTTCCTGACACACTAAAGCCCACTGTAGCAGTCACTGTGTCAGTTCACCTGGTTGAGGGTCTTCCTCTCCTTCGCCGACCCTCTGCCCTTCTGAGCGTCATGTCCCTCTCCAAGAAATAGCCCCTCTTAGAAACATGCCCAAAGCATGGAAGGCAAAGCCTCATCATTCTTGTCTCCAAAGAGCACTTCGGCTCCACCCTCTTCACGACATATTTATTTGTTCTTTTATTCCCCCACGAGATGTTCAGTCCTCTACTCCAATATCACAACTCAAAGGCATCAATTCTTCTTCT